ATGCGCAAAACCAAATTTTGAAATTGGCGTTTGATTTTCCTTTATCCCAAGTGCCTATGTATCAAATTTCGTTTAAATTCTTCCATAAATAAAAAAGTTGGCACTGCGCATGCGCAAAACCAAATTTTGAAATTGGCGTTTGATTTTCCTTTATTCCAAGTGCCTATGTATCAAATTTCGTTTAAATTCTTCCATAAATAAAAAAGTTGGCACTGCGCATGCGCAAAACCAAATTTTGAAATTGGCGTTTGATTTTCCTTTATTCCAAGTGCCTATGTATCAAATTTCATTCAAATACTTTTATAAGTAAAAAAGTTTGCAATTCGGTTTATAAATGGTCGAGATGCGAAAAGGGCACTGTGAATTTTGAATCGATTCGATTCAACTTTTGGCATTGCGTATTATATGGCTAAAGCTATGCCCATATTGAATTTCATGCAATTCAGTTCATAACTAACGGAGATGTAAAAGCGATCGAACATTTCTAAACAAAGTTATCGTTCACACGGACAGATAGATGGACAGACAGACAAAGGAACAGACGGACAGACCAGCATGCAGACGACAGATAGCAATGCAAAATTATAAACGTTCTCTAGGATTGTTAATAAACGGAAAAAGTGTAAAATTATAGAACATGTAAAAAAACGGTTTTTTGTTTTTTTTACAATAACTTTTTTTGTAAGAGGTACAGAAAAAATTCCTTCCTTGGTACAAGACTCGACACCATAACGAACCAAATAGCGAAAAAAGTAGAACAATAGCTCTTAAGATAAAGAACTAGTAGCGTCGCAAAACGAGCGGACGGACGGAACGGACGGACGGACAGCCGGACGGACGGACGGACGGACGGACGGACAAAGTGGCCACAATAGCGCATTTTTTTTTTATTTTTGTGGAAATGCGCTAAAAACACTTTCTCGTGGCCACTTTTTGAGCTCTACAAGACACCGTTCCTGCAAAATGAAAAATGTGTCCGATAGGTATTTTCGCACAATTAGGACGTTGTGCGCGGGTGCGGAAGTACCTAATGAGAATCTGGTTATCTTTAAAGCATTAATATATATAATATATAATAGCTCATTAATTCCGAAATTTTTCCCTCATTTGACCATCGTTATATCTTTTATGGTTTCGGAGATTCCCGTGTTCGTTTTCTTGGACACAGTGTGTATGGTTATGTTGTGAAGTTCTAATTATCCGCTTAGGGCCGGTATTTCCATCTCGGGATAAAGTCAAGTATAAGATATCTTCCAGGTAAACCGACAGTTAGCGTCGCTTCGGGTATTTCGAACCTCGTTTAAATATTATCGGCAGGATAAGCTCTAGATAAAGTTATTGGGTAGATTTTCTGCAGTTATCAACATAACCCCAAGATATTGCGTAAAATTTCTAGTAGACTGGTGACGTTTTAAAAATTTGCGAATTTACCAACCGTACCTATACTAATAGCAAGAAAGAAATTGAAGTATGTTAGTAGATGTACGCAAATACATAGGTACTATGCAAACCGGGAGTAGGTATTGGAATTATTGACTCATATTGAATGTCGACTGCAACATAGAACAAATAGGTTTCTAATAAATATACCTTCAGCTGTACGATTATTAATTCCAGACTTTGCATTAATAAATTGTTGGGCAATATTCTCCCAGCAATTATTTTTTTCTGCCCAAGTAACACCATCACTACGTTTATTTTCCAGGACGTCCTTGTACTGGATCACCAAATCCACAAGCACACGATTTTGGTTCATGTTCAGAGTACTCATAAGTAAAGCTTATTCTGTAATTTATGTTTGACAAGTATATTACAAGTCACTGAACTTCTTTCAAAAACAAAAGCATTCGTTCAAATTGTCAGGTAGTAAACTATCTTTCTCTAATATATGGCCCTGCCGTTCGCTATCTTTTTCTATTACAAACTTCTAAAATCGGCAACATTGGCTATGGTTAGGTAGCTATCTACGAGATATATTTATACCGCACGCCGATGGAAATACCCGCAGATAGATAAACGGAAGATATCGGGCGGTATAAGTTATTCTGCAGGTACGAATCTAGTACTTTATCCGAAGATGGAAATACCGGCCCTAGTTGTGCAACTTTAACTTGGTTTTGCACTGATATTATTTTTTGACGACCTTTTGAAACGTATCTTATTTGGTTTCGAGTTAATGCAATACACCGCATTGTACTCCATGCATAATAATTTTCCTGGTCATTATCTAAATGAGAATGGTTAATAACTCATAATGGCGATTGACAAATCATCAGTGTAATTCGTAACGTAAGAACGAGCGTAAGAATGGTTTTGGGGTTGAGGTGGGGGTTAATGTATTTTATAGCGTTTTCGATTGGCAAAACTCGTACTGCACGAGTGTTGCACGAGAAACTGAAGACATCCATGTGAAAATTGCTCTCAATGGAACATAAATATTCGTAAATATTTGTTGTCATTTGTCCATAACCTCATTTTAGATTTAGGTAATCGACAAATCTCTATTCTAAAAAATGACAAACGATTTCAGTATTATTTATGATAAACGATGAGGAATATAAATTTGAAATTCCTGTAAAGGACCAATTTTTGGCGTTCAGTTTAATGAGTTAAGTGTAACTTTTTGTAAAATAGAAGTTATGGCTAGTTCATCATTTTCGCTATCGCTAGATAACGACAGAAAATCTCTCCTAACGCAAGAAACAAATTCAAATTGTCGCACGTTTGGTTTGAAAATTTGTTAACTAGCAGCTCCACGAGCTCTCGGACCTCGTGCGTCGAAATTTGCACCGAGTGCGTAATTGTTGCATCACATTTGCCAATGGAACACAGAAAATTGTCCTAAAATTACCAATAGAACGTAAAAATTGCACTCGTGCAGCACGAGTTTTGCCAACCGAAAACGCTATCAGTTTATTTATACTAACTGTACTCGTATTATACGAAATATATTTTCAAGAAAACAACACTGGCATAAATATTCTTATAAATAAGAAACTTAGGATTGCGCCGTCTACACATGCACACACCTGATGTTTAAAGTATGCCTGTTCGCCTTTAATAGAAGAAACTTTGGTTAAAATTCAAAAAAATATTTCTACAAATATAAGTTGACATCACAGAATAAGGTTGACATTGCGTAGTTCGCGCATGCGCCCATCTGAGTTTTACAATATACACTATGATTGGCGTTACTAGAAGTATCTGTGCTTAAAATTTCAAAGAAATATCTCTATAAATAAGAAAATTGAAATTGCACCGTTTGCGCATGCGCATATCTGATTTTCATAAATGTGCAATATGCTCGCCTTTACTAGAAACATCTGTGGTTAAAATTTCAAACAAAAAACTCCATAAATAAGGAAGTTGACATCGCGTAGTTTGCGCATGCGCACATGTTATTTTTCCAATAAGCCATTTATGCTTGTCTTTACTACAAGTATCTGTGGTGAAAATTTTAAACACATATTTCCATTGCGCATGCGCAGATTAATCGTCAACATTTTTCTTGGTTGAGGTACCAAAGCTATTAGCTACCGAATGCAAAAGGAGCGAACTAAATATCTTGAAAACTGTAGTACCTAGTTAAGGCCTCAGACATACGGACGGACGGAGAAACTGGCCATATCTAGCTTTTTGTGACATGTCATCGGAAATAATCGGAATTTTCTTGTTTTCTTTAAAACACAATAATTTAATTGGGTATTTTTCTCTAATTTGATTATCGTCATATCCTGTATGCAGGGACGAACTAGGTAGAAGATTGAGGGGGGGGGGGGCTCTGCGTTGCACAACAAAAACAACAACTTCATTTTAAAGTATTCCTTTCTCGAAAATCAATTATAGAACATAGTTTTTTTTAAATTGCAGCTGATAATTAAAAGTGACAAAATATACATACTCCAAACGAGGCCCGTCGCCTATGACTGTATTCCAGCACTTTCAAAATACCACACAAGTAATAAATTCATTGTAAAACACTTACATAAAAACAGAATTTTATAAATGATCAACCTAACTTCAGCCCCAATGGTTAATAATTTATTATTAGTGCAAGAAACTCTTAATGCTTAATACAGTACATATTTATAAATTTCCAACGGGGCATTATGGCCTACAGGCCAGGTGGTAATCGCCCCCCCCCCCCGGGACAGTCCCCCCTGCTTGTATGGTTATGATTATTGCAAACCCAATTGCACTTCGCCGCATACCCATATATAGTTCTATTGGTACTAAAAAGGGTTCCCAATATCTATTTATGTTTACGGCCCATTTTAGCGCATGATGAAAAATACGATGTAGTAGAAAAAACATTTTTAAAAAACGTACCTTTTGAAAACGCTAAGTTAGCCCCTCTACTTTTTAAAAATTTTTTATGGCTTAACCGTAATGGCGCATAACCAAATGTATCACGTGACCTAGTTACAAGCGACAAAATACGTACTGGGGGGGGGGCTACGTTCACTTGCCCCCCCCCCCAAATGTTTTTTCGGATTTCTAAAAAAACGATAATGGCGCAACAGTAATTATCGGTGGCGCATGTGAGCGCATAACGAGCGCATTCATTTTAAAATAATACGACTATCAAATCTCTCAGTGGGGGGGCCAAGTTAACGGACCCCGAATTGTGTGGGTTCTGGCTTACGAAAAATTATTCTTACTCGCGTGCCTTACTCACTGAGTTGAATACAAATTTTATATTCAAAGCTCACTGCAAGTAGGTTTTTAGACAACCTATCCTATTTTTGGTTTTTGGCCATCCTATATCGGCTATGTCTGTAATTTCTGCCACTCATGTCGATCAGGTAGATTTTTGTGTTACTAACACCGGAGCTATAGCTATTTGTTCTTCGTCTAAAATGTTTTTGTCTATTATTCGACCATTATTGAAGCTTACTATACTAGAATACTGGAGCTTACCTTGCACTTGGCTCCAGCATCATACATGTGCTGGGGACTGTGTATCAGCTTTTCACGAGGAGAATCTAATAGCACTGCGATATTAGATATAAGCAAGTTACACGTGCAGAATATTGTTAGTATCACTAGGTACAATCCAGAAACATCGACACGATGACTTTGTACGTGTTTACGAAATTCAAATTAAGGGAAATATTTTATTTGTATATTTTTGTTGCAAGTAATATAAATAGAGGTGGAGCGATGGCATCCTATATATACGCTGGTGAGTTTAATTTATTTATTCTCCTCTGTACGTCGGGGTATAGCGATTGAAATTTGGGGTATTATAAATATCCCGTCTAAGAATGTATGAATGTCGAAATGTATAAATAACCTTTATGAGGCTCGTCGTTCTCCTTGTTTAGCTCATAACGAATTTTTATTGTGCAGGTGGAATATACGAAAGCTCAAATCAGCAAGCGAAATTGGCATTTGAAGTTGTCGTCGATTGGATAAGTAAATATAATCCTTTAACTTATGATACCTTAAAAATATTGCCAAGTGTCATACCACAAGAACAAGTTATTAACAGAACGTATGGTTTTGTTTCGGGCGTTAATGCGAATAAGCCAATTTCTGTAGTTTCAAATGGATGTTCTCTATTAGCCAACGGAATTGCCATCGTGTTCAGCTTTTTGACTGAAGATAATGCAAATACCATACAATCTCTGTGCGATCATAAAGAAATTCCCATGATACAAATCGTCGACAGTTCGGAGCATATTAACGACTGCTGTTCAATTAGCATGCATCCCTCCAGATCGGCACTCTCGAAAGCGTTTGCAGATCTGGTCAAACTATGGAACTGGAAAAGTTTCACTATACTTTACGACAACGCAGATAATTTATCAAAATATGGAGAGTTATTAAAAATCAACTGTAAACCATACAGAAATATTGTCTTAAGACAACTATACCGCAATTATAATGGAGATTTCATGTAAGAACATTTTCAAATTTATATCACTAATATTCATTTTAAGAAGGGTAGAGGGCATATGGATTCTTTGACCTTCCCTGTGATTGGTTAAAACACGAGCCGTATTACTCTGAAAAGTCATTGAACTATATACAGGGTGTTTTTTTGGGAGCTTTATTTAAACGTTTCTGGGAAAGAAAAATAGGTAGGTTTTTAAAAATTTGTATTTAGGAGTTACTCTGAAGGCCTAATCAATGTAAAATATTTTCAAAATGGCCGCACTTCAATAATACAGAAATACAGAAAGTGGCTAGTAACTTCGTTATTTTTTATTGCATTTTTGGATTCTACGTGAAATTTCAGTACTTTTAATACCCACATGTTGATATCTGACATTTATGGTTTTTAAGTTATTTTGACTTTAAGAAAAAAATGGCGGATGCAGATGGTACTTTGATAATTGATTACTTGAAAACGATTGTTATTGTGAAATACGGCAAAAAGAATGACTTTTTCACTGTTTTTGGACTTTCCAGGCGCCATCTTGATATTTAGACCCCAGGCATATGGAGCTGCTGGAGGTCCCCACATACCTACTTAAATATTAACTTGACCGTATGAATACATATTGGACGCCGACAACCGGCCACAAAAAAAAATGACGAATTTTTGCATTTTTGACGTTTTTAAGCGGAGTTTTGGCATTTAGGCCCCTTATATGAATACGAAAGTGTACCTAAACGGTGTCGTCGTGTGTCTACCCTTAAACTACCCAAAACGTTCAGTGGCGTGCCTTGTGGGCTCGAAATAACCGAAAAACGGCAATTTCGCCCGCCATCTTGGATTTAAGGGGTTAAATGCCAAAATCGGGTCTGGCAACAGGGCGCATCGTTTTCAGCGGGGGCAAATTACTCTAGAACCGCCTGTTGCCAGTTTGTAGCACAAAACGCCGTTAGACATCATTTATAGACCCTTTTTCAGAAATGTCTCTCTGACTATTCCGTTTTTAAAGTGCCGAAAGATGCGGAAATACGTGAAAAGTGGATGCTTGCGATTCCAAAAAGTTGTTTTAACGTTGAGTGCGGTGACACAGAATAAAGCGGGCTGTAGGTACCCTTTATTTTGTCGCAATGAGCGGGCAACAGCGACAAATCATAAGTAAGCATAAGAAATTCCCGTTGAGTAAATTGCGTACAGCTGGTGGCCAAAAAACATATCTGATTGGCTACGTAAAAAATTAAGCCGCTGATCGCGCCCCATGTTTTAATGGCGCGTTGGGAATCGGATAGAGAATAATTCGAGGCAAACTTTCTCAATTGAATGTACCTATCCTATCTACCGTATTAAATTAAGTCACCTGTAGTATCTTTTCCATTGTGACATTATAACTATTATCCTTTCTGTTAATTCAAATAAATGTAATGAACGTATACGAAAGAAAAATATACGCGCTCGGATTTGAACCTGGGTTGTCGCAATGTAAGCCAACGGTTATACCATCTGCGCCAACGCGACGTATGTTTAACGTATACTTAATACCATGTGATTAAAAATGAGTTGCTGTCGAGTCACCTTTGGAATTTTTGTTTACATGGGAAATCGTACTTAACTTGAACTTCCAAAGGCGACTTGACAGCAACTCATTTTTGATCGCCCGTTACTTATACTGGTATAAGCAGTTCCACATAATCTTGACAATATCTCTAGATCCATACGCCACCTAGCAACTAACCGAAGGACTACGAGATTGACGACACGTAAGAGCCTCATCTGCTCAGACAACAGAGTTGACAGGCTACAAGAGAGAACCTTTTTACCATACTAATAACATAAACTAATGTATAATTAGTTTCTGCTACTTGCGAGAACTTGTTTTGAGTTATCACTACTGAAAATGATAAAGACAGTGTTCAAATTTACAAACGTAATTAGAATATTATAAGCATTCTTTTGTCACAGTACCCATGCAGCGGGTCAATGTCTATGGTAACTGCCTGCTTTAGTAAAAATTCATATTATTTAAGAAATAAAAAAACAAACTAGTGCACAAAATATATTAACAGGTAACGACAAATTTGTTATAGGGACGCCTTAAAAGAGATTCGAAAATCTGGACAAACAAATTTTATTTTGGATTTTTCCATAGAAACCCTAGCAGAGATTTTAGATCAGTTGCAACGAATTGGACTCATGACCAGCGATTATAGTTACATCGTACTACACCTTGATTTGCATGTCCTAAACTTGAACAAGTATCAACATTCAGCGGCTAACATTACAGGTGTAAGTAAAGTTGCATTCCTACATTAAAGCTTCATTAGCAATTAGTTTTATCAAGCAGGCGTAAGATTCACAATTGTGAAATTGTTAGAATTTACCATACACAGTATTTTGGCTTGTTAAAATATTGCGGGAATTTCTGATTATCGAGAGCGCAAGTCCATAAATTGGGAGATGAGATGAGATAGCGGGAGATATGAAATATAGTTTTGTTTATACGTACATACGTCAAATGTGACATTTCGCTGATCATATTGAAACAGCGAAGTATCGTTTGATTTCTATACCTGTGTTGATTATCCGTTTATAACAAGAAATTCCAGCATACTAATAAAAAATATTTAGCGTTTACCACGGACGAGTGAGATCCGCTGACACGTCTTGTCTGACTTGTCTGCGAAAACTCACTCCTTAGTCCTTAGTAAACAACTATTATTGGTGGAGACGGTTCAAGTCACGGCATGTGTGTGAATCAAAAAGGAAAATGTGAAGAATTTGATAGAACCACTGAACTATATTATACTGGAATGCGCGCTCGGTCCGCCAGCAAAGGCGCCGACTTAGGGGTGGCCGAGCACTTTCAGCCCCTCCAATATTTATACTGGAGGGGCTCAGCTCCCCTAATTCTGAATAAGTGACAATTATATACCGTATTCGTATTCGTGGTTACTTACACCAAATCTTGAAACTGCATAATCAGCTTTAGACTCAACAATAAACCTTTATACCTCTACCTCAATGCAAAATGCAATAACAAACCGTACCAAGGCAGGAAACCGTTGACAGTTCTAAGAAGCAATAATCTGACTCCTGATGTGACGTTATATAGTTTTTCTTTCTGAGATAAAGGATAAAGATAGGTAGGTACCTGCACCTTACACCTACTACGATAAGTGCATTATTTAAAAATGCAAAAATTCGTACTTGCTGGTTTTAGTTAAAAGTCGACGGTTGTAGGTTAGGGTTGTTATAAAAATTTTTTTTTTACTTATATGTACCCGTAACCCGATACCCTATGCAGCGTAAAAATGTTTGGGCCCCCCCAAAAATTTTGTCAAGTCGGCGCCTATGTCCGCCAGCGCGAACCCCGAGAGAGCGCCACAAAGGGGTTCTCTGCCCTACTCTCGCGAATGCATAGAGCAGCCTATTTGATGTTTTGAATATATTATTGATCAGTTTCCCAATGATAATTTTTAATAACATGAATATCCAAATAATAATGTATAAAATATGCAGTTGCTAATGTCAGTAAGATACCTACCGTTACAAAGAATCCGATAAAACAGAATGCCGAACGATCTTCGAGTTCATTTTTGAGCTGTAACTTTTTGGCCAATGGTACACGTAGTTGAAAAACAATAGCGACCTTTCCATGTGTAGGTACCATTCTCCTTATTGTCGATTTCTATCTGTGAACGAATAGCCATTCCATCTGCGATGAGAGCAACGTCTCTCACATAATCCGACTTCATTCCCTCAACCTTTAAGTACCTACTCGAAAACCCCTAATACAATTCTTGGTTTATAACCAGAGGTATATTTCATTACTCACTTTCATAGAGTGAAACTCGTGTGGAAAAGCAATTAGTTGTTTGCGAACTTATCCGTGCGCTTTAGGTAAGTAAAAATCGATGCAAACTCTCTCATCTTGTCCGAATAACTTCACTTAGTTTTTCCCAGTTCTTTGCTTGGTGCAGGAACAATTCCAAGCTAAACCCGGAAAATGTTGAACTCAAAATCTCCTTCAGCGCTTCAAAACTCGTACCTAATTCATTCAGTTCTTTTATCAGTAGAGATATCGTCAAAAGCTTCTTTTTCCTTTCGCATCATGGCCTTGAAGAACCCTCACTTTTTTTACAAGTCTTATGCGACTCCAGTGGACGGTTTTAAATCACGAAACCATACTTTCGTACCAACGGAATGGTTACCCACGGCCCACCACCTCATTTGCCTCGTTTTCAGCTGTCGTTGGAGGTGTATGATGGGATGGGGAAGGACAACTAAAATACTGCACAGTCCTATCTTGGTCCTGGTCGCATTTTTTTCAGGATTTTTTAGCCAAACTCTTACTCAACTGATTCTTTGTTAAAGTGTAAACTATACATATACCACAGACAATTATGTTGTCTGTGCATATACGTAAATTAGCAGTGAGTTTGCGTACTACTTTTATCCATTCTTGCCTAACAGCATCGTTTTTCCAGGGAATGCTGAAAAAATATTGTTTTCTAAAAGTTAACGATTATAAGAAATCAACAAATCGTTTAGTTAAGGTCTAAGTATGTCTTTAATCCGTTGCGTTAATCTAAACGAGGTATTGACCATAACAAATAAATATGCAGTGCGATTATCTTAAACTGAAAAATACGATTTTGCTTTAAAAAAATTAAAAAAACGCGTCAACCCATAGCAGTAGTTCAAATGGGTAGTAGGTGCAATGTACAGCTGTCACCTTCAAATCTACCGCCCTGCAGATAACTTTCAAAAATGCTGTCAGGCTGTCTAAAGAGATGAAAATTGAAATTATAAATTTATACAAAGGTCACAACAGTGCAAGACAAGTACGCGATTTACTTGCAGACCATCAGTATCCTGATGAACCACCAAGGGCGTCGCCAGAGGGGGGCAGGGGAGGGCAACTGCCCCGTGTAGAGATTAAAAAAGTAGCAAAATGCAAAGCAACCAGTCCAAAAACCAAAGTGTCCTAGTTTTCTTGACCGATAATTCCTTATTACAATTATTGTGGTTGTAGAGGTAAGACAGTACAAAAGTAAAAGCTTATGTGCTCTGCACTATATCTACAATTAATAATTTTTTTATCCTTCGTATGTCAACTCGCCTCTCTCTGGGCCATCAGCTGGCGACACTCTTGTGAACCATCGACATAATAAATGGACTGCGCGTGTCAATGATAAGCGCGGATACTGCAGAGAGAAGGGAAAGCTAAGAGGGCAAGCTGTCTCTTACGGATACGCATCTGATTAGATCTTTCAATTTAATTTGATTGCGATTGCTTCTGTCAGTTGTGAAGATAAACGCACTGTATAGTAATTCATGCATTTTGACGTGCGCCGACTCGATCTACTCTGACACGTAGCGCATGCGTAAAGCGTTTGGAGAATTGCGCACTCTCTCGGCACCCTGTGTTTCTATGACAGAGATCCTCAGTGCGCGTTCCGCTATAATTATAGTTCAGTGGATTGAATCATTCGCTATTAGAAACCGTCGAGTCGTTTACATTGAGCGGTCAGAGAATGACCGTAGTGTGAATTTTATATTGTGTTAAAAATGTGAAGCAGTCAGTGGAGTTATATCGACTCCCTGTAATTTATCACAGGGTGTTTGAATACACTGCGTCCACGATAAGGATGTCTATCACGGAGATCTCCGAAGCCATAGAGGATACGAGGATGTTTAAATTAGAGGAAGGATTACTTCCGAAAATATGTCAGGAAAACCGAAATTTGCCGATTTCGGCTGTTTTTAAGCATGCTAAGTACTACATATACATTTGCAGAACATTTTTAAAGGGATGTTTTTGATTTAATCACTTTCGTAGCTCCATTAATCAATAGGGGTTCCACTTTTTATGCTTTTTGTGAAATTGATGTGAAGTTGTCCTTGCACTTGTACTGGGTAGTAATAATTATGGTATCGAAAAATAGTTCAGGGGTAAAAAATGGAACATGACGTCTGAAAACACAACACCCTGTAGATTCTACATTTGACATGACCAATTGTGTAAGGCCTTCAGTGTAACTTATATTTCCAATTTGAACGAAATATTTCAAAAACTTAAGGAGATATTAAAAAAACACTTAAAACATTTTGAAATTTTAACACCCTGCTTATATGAACTTTTAGTCATAAAATAAGCCAAGAAATAACCTCTTCTGTATTTCCATCATATTTAGGAACATCCTGTATAAAATGTATCTAATAAATCGACCGACCCTAAGCCTAAGCTCATATTTCTGTAATTTTGGGGATTTATCGCTGCGATTATTTTAGAACGAATTATTTTTTTAGATTTTTGCTAAGTATTTTTCAGTTTGATTAATGAGGGCGAAGACACTTTCAACACGTGTTGTACACGAAATTTTTTGTATAGTGATACTTAATAACTCATAACTGAATAATATTATTGACATTCGCGATTTACTGTCACTCAAAAATCATTATACAAAAAAGAAATTACATTAAAATTACATCCTATAACAGTATAAATTGTGCGTATGAGCCGGATACATTTGCCAGCAATTTCCGAATTTTTATGGTAATTTGCATTGAGTGTTCATACCTTTCGTTCTCTCTTTCGTTAGTGTTTCTAAAATTGTCGCGTTTATATATTATCAGTAAACATACGAGAAATCACATACTATTTTCAAGAAACCCGACTTTTAATCCGGCTCATTTGTTAGATGAGGAACATACTGACGCACGGACAAAACCCTCACATAAGGAGGATTTTTGTTCCGAAAAATTCCCCTAAAAATAAATGAAATAACACATATTAAAAATACGAAACTTTTGAAACCGTAAAATATCATTGTGCTCTAGTATATTTGTTTTGAATACAATATATTGCTTTAGTTCAATATTTGGAGAAAAATATCCACTCATGAAAAACAGATTCCTTTGAATAAACATTCAAATGACAAATACGTAAACTAATGGAATTTTAATTCCCAGTACTCATATGCAATAAATAAACAAGATGTGCATTTATTAATATCAATAGAAAAACCTCATTAGGCAAGTGTTAAGTGTTATTAGAATCCTCTCATTTATAATTAAATTCCATTCAAAAGGTAAATAAGGCGACAACAAAGACAACTATAGGAGAATGAGACAAATTCACTCTTTTCTTATTCTACTTCAACTTGCTATATTTCGGAAGAGGTTAGACAACTTTACATACTCCGTTTAGAGAAATTAATTCACTTCAGAGGGGCCTTAACTCATCAAGTATGTACACAACAAATTTCGTGCAATTCTCTCCATTTTCGTTGTCCGGCCAAGAACTGCAGTGGAACTTTTTTTTCGAATTTTAAAAAACTAATTCGAGATACGTGATGTTCAAAAACCCCCAGATACCAAATTTCGTCGAAATCAAAATTTTTTTTCGCATCCACAAGTAGGGGTGCGCCCTTTCATAGTAGGAATTTTGATAAAATTTTTTATTCAAATCGAATAAGGCATACCCGAAAACCTATTCAAAGACGCGTCACCCATCTTTGTAACTCTTATGGTTGCTGAGAAAAAAATTAAAGAAGAAATCCAAATTTCATCACTTCTTCGGGGGTAGCTTCCAAACGAAACACGTTGGGCCATGGTTTATTTGGAAAAAGTGCCCTCTATCACGCAATTTTTTTTTACATGCGGTCATGTAAAACCCTGTATATGCTACCGGCAATCTGTATAATTCAGGCATTCGAAAATTTGTATACAGCCCCCCCGGATTCCCGTAGGCTATGTCGCGAAACCACTTACTCTGATCGCGCACACTGGTACTTTAATTCGCGATATCGCCGAAAATATGGCGAAACTCACAAACAAATGTACTCTAAGACCCGCTGCACTCTTCAGCGTTCTCAGGCGTTCGCTGCCGTAGGAGGCCATCGACGAACTCCCCTAGTTCATTCATGGTCCATTGATAGAAATCACCGCACTTCTGATCTTTCCACCACATACGCCAGCTATCCCCGTAATATATCAGGATGTCACTAAAACTCAATTTGGTCACACATGTGGCAGGAAGGCCATGGGCCCTTTCGAGATGAGCCGTAACATTTTACAAATTATTAGTATTTAAATGTCTATACAGCCATACAGGATGTTCACAACCTTAACCTACCTATCGTACCTATACTTAACTTAAAAAACTATTTAACATTGCGCCACACGTGCCCTAATTAGTGATGTGGATTGTAAAATAACGATTTGAAAGTTACATAAAAAACGGTTATATTACGCGTAACGTAACTTACAAGAGGTCGGTTTTTTTATGTAATTTATGTCTTTTATGAAATTTACGTATCTTACGTTTCTTATTTAATAAACCGTAATTTTTGTAAGTTACATAAATGTAATACCTATTTGATACATTTGATCGGTACTACCACAGACCATCAACGGTACCTACTACCAACGTAAATGATTCACCGTTGAATCTAGTTTGGTTTAATAAAGATGATACAGCATCTAATTCGCGATCTGGATCTTCTTCCTCCAAACGACGCGTGATGGCGAAATACCTACTGCTTGGGTATTTTATTTAATACACCAAAATATATAATTTAACAAGTGTTTTTGTTTTCAAACACTCACAAAATTCAAAAACGTTTATTGAATATTAAAAAAAACATAAAAAACGTAAATGACAGGTAATTTTACAAAAATATTTGTAAATTACGTAAAAAACATAAATTACTGGTAATTTTACCGTAAAATTACGCACTTCAAAAAACGTGTAATTTAACATCACTAGCCCTAATAATAACCTGTGCGTTAAACTGTTCAAATGACATCAGAAAAAAATGAAAACGACTTCGGCAAATTTTGGTTTTTCTGCATATCTTTGGAAATAATCGAAATTATCTGACTTCCTTTACAGTATGGTAATTACTCTTTAATTGCGCAACTGTGTTTAATTTAACCATCTTCGTATTTTCTATGGGTTCCGCGATTCCCATGATAGAGAGATCTTTACCCTTCAACTTCGACCCAATGTATATTAGTGTGGCACTCTAATAATGCACAGATCATGCCTAAGAGCCAGCCACTTCCAGCCTGAAACTGGATTTTGTGTGGGTATCGGGGGCGAGGGGGAGTCCTCCCCTCTATTTTATCCCTAATTATCATAGCTTGCCCGCTTTTCGCATGGCGAGCACTAGGTACCTCTGACTTAATTACCAACCTTTATGACTATTTATGCAAGTTTGTAGCTAAAACATGAAAAAATCAAACAAATATAGAAACCCGTTAGTTAGTGCCTGAATGGGTAGGCAATCCTTACTCTTATTGGCTTACCTGTGCCCCAGTAGTCCACCCCAACTATTCTAAACGTGTTTTTACACCCATGGAACTTAGTAGAGTTGGAAAAAATGGTCCAGTCATTAGCTAATCAACATTTTTACCGAACAGTTCCTAGGAGTAGACCCCCCTCCCCCATGCACCCCCTAACGAGGATTCCAAGAGCAGATGGAGAAAGGGCCAAGGAGCATATGTGCCAATTCTCATAGCTTTACTCAAAAGTGCGCATTTTCCATATTATCTCACTTTTGGACCTAAGCACCCTGACTATAATTATTACTACACATGCTTTACAAAAGGTTGAATCTTTAATGCGTATTAAATAATTATTTAGAAGTAGGTACTATTTGCCCTTAATGATCTGATAACTTTTTCAAAATGTGTTTAGTTCCGACTTCTGAATTTGACACATCCCCTTCATCAAAAGATTATAGACGTTAATAAGTCAAAGCAATATGAAGCCTTTAATATGGAACACCAAATACCAAATGAAGTAGCTTTGTTATTCGATGCCGTAAATTTAACATCCACTGTTATTAACGAATATGGTTTATTGAAAACGAAGGCCTTAAATTGTAAATCTAGCACCAGCTGGGAATACGGCAGTACCTTATTCAATTATCTTAAATTGGTAAGCATTTTGGTTTGTTGGTTTAATAATGTGTTTCATATTCAGAAATCCTTTAACGGCTTAAGCGGTCGCGTGGAATTTAACCAATATGGACAACGCACCCAATTCGACTTGGATATCCTTTCATTAACCGAAGAAGGTTTACAGAAGATTGGAATGTGGGACACTGCCAACGGTTTGGAAATGCTACGTTTAAAACCTGATTTAGAACCTACCGAAAGAAGTTTGAGGCATGCGCATTTCAATGTCATGGTTTGTTGGGTATTTACGGCTCATCATTACAAAATACACAATCCTTAATGTGGTTTATTTAGATTCAACCATATGCCATGTTAAAAACCACTTCGGCACCGTTGACCGGCAATGATCAATTTGAAGGATTTGCCATAGACTTAATACGCGAGTTGTCCAATCTGGAGGGATTCAAATACACATTTATTCGCAATGAAGATGATTTAAATGGTAGTTACAATTCTACAAGCGGAAAGTGGAATGGAATGATTGAAGATATCCTATCTGGGGTAAAATGAAACACTAACATGATTTTAGCGCATTTTCCAAAAGAAAAATGAACGCTATTGTCCGCATTTTGTCCGTCTGTCCAACTGTACCACTACTAGTCGTCCAGTTTAAGCTGCTTTTTTTTCGGGTGTAGTACATCCTAGAGACTAGAACGACTGAAGTTTATTTGGATTGGTCACTTCCTTCCCGAGTTATTACTGATTCCGTGTGGGGAAAATGCGCGAATGACCACGTTTTTAACTTGTTAAATATTCTTACAGAGAGGCGATTTGGCCATAGGTGATTTGACAATCACTCAAGATAGACAGAGGGCAGTCGACTTTACGGAACCATTTATGTCTTTAGGGGTGCAAATATTATATAGAAAACCTACAACTTCGGCTCCCGATTTTTTTTCGTTTGCCGCTCCTTTCAAACCTGAGGTTTGGGTTATGTTCGTTGTAACTTTCTTTGTAATGTCATTTATGCTTTACATTACTGCGAGGATGACCCCATCGGAGTGGGTTAATCCATACCCTTGCAATGAAAATCCACAATATTTGGAAAACACCTACAATTTTCAAAATTGTATATGGTTGATAATTGCAAACTTAATGCAAGAAGGTGCAGATTACGGTCCAAGGTGATGGTCACTAAGAAAATAACTAAAATATCAATTATTGTATTTTAGGGGGCTGTCGACGAGGATATTAACAAGCTTTTGGTCTTTTTTTATCCTTATAATGATCTCAACGTACACTGCTAACATGGCTGCATTTCTAACGACGGAAAAAGAAGAATGGGCCTTTACAAACGTGGCACAGTTAGTAAATAATTCGGAGAAACTGGGAATAAAATATGGAGCGGCTGCAACTGGTGCTACATTCAAATTTTTTAAGGTTGGTTTATTGTCACTGTACCTATCGGACTTATTTGTATGAGGTTTGCAGGAGTCGGAGGACGAGATATACAAAAAGGCTTATGAACATATGAAGAATCACCCCGAAAATTTGGTGAATTACTTTGAGGACGGTGTTGATAAGGTTGTGAATGGGGTTGAAAATTATGCGTTCTTTATGGAGTCCTCTAGCATTAAGTATGTTACCCAACGCCGTTGTAATTTAACCGCGGTTGGAAAACGTTTGGACGAGAAGTATTATGCAATCGCTTTGCAGAAAGGTAGGTAATACGAGACGTGGATTAAAGTGTTTCCCTATACATTTAAGAAGCTTGCCGTCTTGAACACTTTAATGTGTGCTAGTGCTGATATGATGCAGTTCCCACGTTTTGTCTGTCAATATTAACGGATCTCGATCACTGGGAAACGGAATGTGATATCATCATGCGGTTTTTACTAAACGTGTATATTAAGGGAATGAGATAGGACAGGGCAGGACGGACAGTAACACAATCTTAATGTCTTTTACATGACCAAAACAATTGAATCTGAATTACCTACACTTGACAATCTCATTGAGCAGTGTGTGGTTGCAATTTTTAAACGGTCGCGGGTTATTGACTAATGGTCCTTAGGCGCGCGCCTGCGTATAGTTGGTTAGAGTAGATAAAGCGTATTGGCTAACGGTTAAAGATGGCCGCGCTAATCTATTACCGCTATTTTGTAGGCAGTTTTTTGTAAAATGGAGAAGATAGGCATGAAGTAGAGAGACGCTGTTCTTGGGGCATTCTGCGGTAATAAGCTGTTCGCAGGTAGTCACGTTCAGCTCTCGCGATTTTATTAAACGGGCGAAATAGTATACTTCTTAAAAGACAAAGTGACGGGGGGATTCCAGTTGTACAATAATGCCTAAAAATAGACCACTAATTGAAATGTCGTTTTACGCGCTTAAAATCTGAGTTGACGAAAGGGTCTCTATCTTCACGTCTACAGTAACTCTTCAAGAACCCGGCTATAAGCCCTGTTAACAAAGCTTGATGAAAACTACCCGTTTTCTTTTGGGTTTTTTATTTCTTGTCACGATACAATTAAATTGACATAACTACTGAAAAAATTCGTATTTCCACTCTTTTGTTTTTTTTACAACCCTGATATATCCAATTTACAACATTCTCCCACCTGTGACGTCATGACATCAATGAGCGTCGCACACAAACTGAGTTCAATCTGACAAATATACGTAGTACTATAGTTACAATTACGCATGCTAACTAAAACTGAACAAAACTACAATCCAATGAATAAAGAATACCCTAAAGAAAATTGTATATTCATTGTCTGTACTTCGCCGGCTTCCGCACTTGGTACGTAACTCGGGTACTCTGCTTTGAGCACTTTTAGTGCTCGTCACTCCCGCACTGTCACATTCGTCGCTCACTTCTTCGTTGTCTTTTTGATGAGAAGTATCTCCGTCAGGCTGATCCACGTTGTCCTCCCCTTGCGGTTTGATGCTTACACTATCCACTTCTAGTGGGTACAACCGCTGGACGGGCCTCAACAACTGCCCGTTCGCAGTATCGATTCTCACTACCCGCACAATTCCGTCTTTGCCGGGAATTAGTTCCACTACTCGGCCTAAAGGCCAGTTTATACGTTTTGTTTTATCGCTACCGACCAACACTACTTCGCCAATTTTAATAGCCCGGGTCAGTCGTTTTTTCAAGGCGATTTTTAATTGTCCTAGATACTCTGATCTAAATCGTTGCCGTAAGTCATCCCGCACCTTTTGCGCATGACGGATTTTCCGATCCAACGACTTTCGATCAACACTGTCACAATCAGTTACTCCACTTGCGCGATTGTCTCCTAAAAACATCGCCGGAGTCAAGGGAGTAGGGTCTGAGGGATTATTATACGAATAGGTTATAGGCCGCGCGTTAATTACAGCCTCGCAATCACATAACACTGTGTTCATGTTCTCATAATCGAGACATGCACTACCCAAAACCTTTCTCAACAAACGCTTTAATAACCCAACCATTCTCTCCCAAAAACCACCCCACCATGGTGCACTCGGGGGGTTAAACTTCCAAGTAATTCGTTGTGCATTCGCGTACCGATCAATCTTTTCCCATTCTACCGACGTTAGGCTGCTTTCGGCGCCTACGAAGTTGGTGCCGTTGTCACTATAAACAGTCTTTGGCCTTCCACGTCGCGCGATGAACCGTCTGAACGCTTGTATAAAACTCGCGGTCGATAACGACGAAACCAGTTCTAAATGGACAGCCCTGTACACCGCGCAGGTAAACAAACACACCCATGCTTTTTCACCGCCCCTCAAGAATAACGGCCCAGCCAAATCAACTCCAGTAATCTCAAAAGTTTCTGCGTCACGAACTCGGTCGATCGGCAACGCCGGAGATTCCACCACAAAGGGTTTCGCGTCCTGCCGTTTGCACACAACGCAAGACGATATTACCGCGCGCACTCTTCTCCTGCCTCCTAAAATCCAGTATTTCTCCCTAAGGATACTCAGCAGGTTTTGTGCTCCCGCATGACAAGATTTTACATGTTGGAGCGTTATCAGACGTTGAACAAAAACATGCTTTCCTGACAGAAAAATGGGAAATCTAAAGTTTTCAGCGTCTGGTCTATTCGAAACTTGAGTTCTAACACGTAGCAAACCGAATTCGTCACATATTACGGTTAAACCATTTAAAGCGTCATTTCGATCTCCAAACGATTCCTTCTGGCTTATTTTCAAAATGAGGTTTTCGATCGTCTGTAGTTCCTCCACCGAAAGAGCTTCCGTCCTTACCGTCAATGGTAATGGTTCTTTGATTTTAGCGACTTGTCGATCTGCCGCCTTTTCCTTCAATTTTTTCCTAACATTATTTTTGAAACGCAGCATCCACCCAACTTGACGTACTATTCTCTCGAAATCCTCAAATAACGTAAAATCTGAACTAACTAAGTTCTCAGTAACCATCAAGCTCGATACTGTTGATTTCGTCCTCTCTGCAGTGATTTCATTCTCGTCATATGCGACTGGTTCCGAAGGCCATTCCGCCGGCTCATCCCTCAGCCATGATGGCCCCTCCCACCAACGTTTTTCGCACAATTGTTGCGGTGTGCATCCTCGGGAAGGCAGATCAGCCGGATTTAAGTGCCCTGGCACATGTCTCCATGAATCGATCGCCGAATTCTGACGAATTTCATTGACCCTATTTCTCACAAAAACCGTCCATTCTTCTTTTCGTCGTATCCACGAAAGAACGGTAGTGGAGTCGGTCCAATAAAAACACTTTCCGTCGCCTTTTAGGTCTTTTTTAACTGTGTCACACAAACGAACACCGATCGTAGCTCCCAAGAGTTCCAGTCTAGGAATGGTAGTTGGTTTGATAGGCGTGACTCTCGATGTTGTCGCTAGGAGATGTATTTTTACCTCTCCTTCTTGCTCTATGCGCAGAAATATCACTGCGGCATAGGCCTTTTTACTCGCGTCTGTAAATACATGTAGACTCCATGGTTGCGATGTATTCGACTCAAACCCAATCCACCGTGGTATCTCAATTCTTTCCAAGTATTGTAATTCTTCCGCCCATTCCATAAACGCTTTTCTCGTCACCTCGTCGACTTCCTCATCCCATTGCAGTTGTTTTTTCCATAATTGTTGTAACAGGATTTTTGGTCTTAGGGTCACGGGACTGGTAAACCCTATAGGATCGTAGAGTTTCTGAGCGATAGATAACATGAGTCGTTTCGTCACGCGGAACTTTTCCGATTGGATCAATTCTTTGATCGAAAAGCCGTTAACTGTCAATACGTCTTTTTCTCGATGCCATTTCAAACCCAACACGGAAACGCTGGGAGTAGGAGGTTCGTCCAAACTCGTGTGCTCCCACCCTCGAAGATCAAACTTCGCTTCCGCCATTACTTCGGTGGCCTCTTTTATGAACCTATCGAGAGTCGCCATGTCCTTTACGCTGGTCACGCAATTATCCACATAGAAACTCTGATTTAAACGCGTGATCGTGTCTTTTGAATAAGAGGGATTCGGTGTGTCGCATTTTTCGAGACATTTTTCTAGGTGATGTTCGATTGTAGCTGCTAACAAAAACGGACTGCTACTTACACCGAAAACTACTCTTCTATGTCGATAAACCTTTTCATTGCCCTGTTTATCAACCCATAAAAATTTTAGAAATTCTCTGTCCGATTCGTGAACTCCGATTTTAAGTTCACGAAATCGCAGGATTATCGATGGGATCAATTCTATCAAATTGACACCCTTGCTTAAGCAATTATTTAACGACGGTGAAATTTTCGAACACGCTGATGCGTCGAACACCGGACGAATTTTTGTTGTCGAATTTTCCTTCACGACAGGCCTGTGTGGCAGATAGTGCCCTCGTTGATGATCCACTTCCCCAACAACTGTCTCGATTACTCCTTCCGATTGCCATTCACAAAAAACCTGGTCGTAGGCTTGGTGTAGTTGGGTGTTTTCCAAGTTTCTTAATGTCAAACTCAATCGCCTTTTTGCAATCTCGTAATTGCTGGATAAAGGAGAGTGATCCGCTGCCCACGGAAGTCGCACTTCATAACGCCCTTCTCCGTCAACTTGTAAAGTTTTCTCGAAGCACTTCTTTACTTCTCGAAACTCCTCCTCGCTTCGTTTTTTCTCGACAGGATCTCGTATCCCAAGTACGTCGAGTTCCCACAGCGAAGTCACTGTTTTGTCAGACACTAGACAAGATATTTCCATGTTTGATTTAAATCGCTGGCTGTCTATTTTTCCCATGAGCGTCCATCCGTATACAGTTTCAACCGCTACCATTCCACATTCTAAAACTTCCCTCTTTCCTGTGTAAATATGACCTGCCACGTCTGCGCCTAGAAGTATTTCTATCGGCGAGGAATCTTTTACATCAGACAAGGAAATCCCAATACGTTTCAACTCCTTAATCCACGGTCCATAAAATACCGGCGGAATAGGATGACAAATAGTCGGTTGATCCAATACCTCTACTGTACGGGAGTAATCTCCCTTTACCAACGTAACGTCGTAACAAGAATGATTACGTTCTACTGTTGTTCCACCAAACAACCCATGCGCTATCGTCGCGCGTCTTCTTACTTCAAGACCTAACGCGTCGCTGGTGCTTTTTAGTATATAGGATATTTGAGATCCGTTGTCGATTAGTACTCGCACGTCACGTTCGCCACAGTTATGTCGAATATTGACTCTAAAAGTTTGCAGAAAAACATGGCTTGACGT